CTTAGAGAGGGCTGAAAGCCCTATGAAGCGGTATATAGAAGTCTAACTGCTATTGCTATTTATTTATCTACCTTCCCTTCCATCTCCCTATTTATCTATCTATATTCCTTCCTTCCTCCCACCCTCTCATCTTTTTCCTTCCTTCCTTCCCATCCACCTATTTATCCATCTAGCCACCTTCCTTCCTTCCTTCCCTCCTTTCCTTTACTACAATTTTAAGCACTTTCCAAGTGAGACTTTTCCACGTGGCAGAAGATATTTTGCGACACAGATGCATGGAACTTATATTTACTGACAAAAGAAATAAAGTGAGACCAGTATCGATCTATTTCAAATTATTTAGCTCTCATCAGCTGGTCGTACCCTTTCTGGGACTCAAACTCCGGCTACATGCCCTGATCGGCCGGACTCACTGGAAAAAAACCACGAGAGAGATCTTTCCCACCAGGATGATCCTAACTTGAATCTCTGGAAATCGCAGGTTAAATAGTCCTGCCTGCTCACCTGTGCCCAATCAGGCTGGAGGGGAGAAAGCAAGCTGGATTCCAGGAGGGGCACAGCAGAAGTGCAGAGGCCCCGGCAGAAGACGGGACGCAGCCTCCAAACTCTCCCTCCTCTGCACGAAGAGCATTTTGTCCTTCAGTCGAGGCTTGGAGGTGTCAAGCAGGATGCTGGGGAGAATGCAATGCTTAGCTGGCTCAGGGTCTTGAAAATCGCAAGCCATGGTTTGTTTATTCACGTAGCTAAACCTTAGTTCTGCAGGTCGTTCTCTGCAAAGAACACACCAGCCGAGCTCGCACATCACAGCCATATCGTGGAAGTGAACTATGCAAAATGAATAGTCCAGTTACTGCTGCGAATTCTTGAATAGACCCCTCAGTACTGGGTCCCCACATGACTAGCCATAGTTAACAGAACTACCCTCTGTTCAGCTGAACCCCATTTTCACAGCCTAAGCAGCACACAAACAGGGATTGCACAACACAGTAGCTAAAACAAGGCTAGTTTAGCCACGCTGAATTATAATTAGGTGCACAAAAGACCGGACTGAATCCCGCTCTTCTCCTCTCCTCATCCCGGCCAGGCTAAAAAGGAGAAATTCTGCATTTGCAGAGGCAAATATATTTGCAAATGTAAATGTTGCAATGAAACAGAAATAATGTGACATTTCTGGAACCCCCAAGTGAAACGTCAAACATCTGTTGCAGGAAGAGAGATTCATTATTATGGTCAGGAGAACAGATTTTTATGTTAACTCAGCCCACTCCCAGAAAGGCCTCCAAAATGTCATTGGTTGATTAATTGGCTGGTTCACACCTGCCAGGCTGGAAAGGGGCTTGGCTGGGGACTCCGTGGCAGAGTTCACACAACATGCTGACACCCGTTTTAGCCCAGGACAGCCTGACTGGAGGGGGGGGGGGAGGTTATAGTTAACCTATTAAATATCTCCCGTAAAATCATCCGGTTAATCCGTTTGCTTACATCCAAACTAAAACCAAACTACAGCGATATCTTGGTACTCAAGTGCTTTGAAATTCAGAAAGGCAAGGGAAGAAGGAAGGGGAAGGAGAGGATGGAAGGGAGAGAAAGAGAAGGAGAGAGGGTAGGAAGGGGAAGAATAGGAGTAGGGGAGAGGAAAGGGAAGAAGAAAGAGGTAAGGAGAAGAGGATGGAAGGGGGCGAAAGAGAAGGAGAGAGGGTAGGAAGGGGAAGAATAGGAGTAGGGGAGAGGAAAGGGAAGAAGAAAGAGGTAAGGAGAAGAGGATGGAAGGGGGCGAAAGAGAAGGAGAGGGTAGGAAGGGGAAGAGAAAGAGGAGTAGAAGAAAGGGGAAGGAGAGGAGGAAGGGAGAGAAAGAGAAGGAGAGAGGGTAGGAAGGGGAAGAGGAAAAGTAGGAGAAAGGGAAGGGGAAGGAGAGGAGGATGGAAGGGAAAGAGAAGGAAAGAGGGTAGGAAGGGGAAGAGGAAAAGTAGGAGAAAGGGAAGGGGAAGGAGAGGAGGATGGAAGGGAAAGAGAAGGAAAGAGGGTAGGAAGGGGAAGAGGAAAAGTAGGAGAAAGGGAAGGGGAAGGAGAGGAGGATGGAAGGGAAAGAG